ATATTTTATTTATTATTTTTGAGTTAACATATTTTTAATTTACATTCAAGTCAAAGGCTTAATGGCTGTTACATAGAGCTCAACAAATAAAGAAATGATCAGAATAAAGCAGGAAAATAGGCAGACTATAAACAATAAATTAAATGAAAAGATGTTCAACTTCATTCACATAAATTTTAAAATAGTTACAAAATCATTAAACTATATTAGTATGAAATTCTTATCAAACGTGTGTGTCAAAGATTTAAAGCAAAGTCTGACAAACTCTCCCTGATGTAATTAAATTTCATCTAGTGGGGAAGGTGTTGTTGGGCTGTGGATTATCCATGCCTCTTCCACCAGCATCCAATATCCAAGTTCCTGTTTGAGTCCTGGCTGGTCCACTTGTGATCCAGCCTGGGAAGGCAGCAGAAGATGAATCAAGTTCATGGGTCCCTGCCGCCCATATGGGAGACCCATATGGAGTTCCATCCCCCTAGCTTCAGCCTGGCCCAGTTCTGGCCGTTACGGCCATTTGGGGAGTGAACCAGCAGATGAACTCTCTCTCTCTCTCTCTCCCTCTTTCTCTCCCTCTTTCTTTCTGTGTGTGTGTGACTTCCTCTCTGTCACTCTATCTTTCAAATAAGTAAATGTTTCTTATTTTTTACTTTAGTAGAATGCCCAGAATTATAATATTTTCAGTCAAGTATTTATCTTTAGTATTGTATTGTGTCTAAAACATAAAATATAATGCTCTAAGGATAGTTAACTATTAGGTTTTTAGTTAGAAGTGGCCTCATACATTTTAAGTAGGAGTTCTGAATATAATACATTTTTACAGAATTGGGTTTACTAGGTTTTGATTAATTGAGAACAACTATTATATTTAGTAGTAATATTATCAAATGTCAAAGGATGAGAATATAATTAAATACATTAACACCAAAGTTCTGAACATAATTTAATATGCCCTCGACTTCAGAATTAAATTTAAAATCATAGAGTTGTCCAGGATAGTCATCATGTGCATTAATTATCTTTTATTAGTATTGTACATGCATGAAATTATAAGAAAGTGAGCTCAATTTGTATAGCGTATTTAGCATATTCAGGAAATAGCTCTGCTTATTCTTTCCTTCAAAGATTCACAAGTATTTTCAGTTATTTGAATTTTTCTCTTTATAGGATGTAAATGTATAAAATATTACCCTTAAATATGTAGATCATTTTTAAAGTTTTTTAAAAAATTTTATTCATTTGAAAGGCAAAGAGATGGGGCAAGAGGGAGGAGAGGAAAAGAGAGGAGAGACAGAGATAGATTCTTTCCTCTTTTGGTTCATCCCCACCAAATGCAGACAATAGCCCTGGCTGGGCTAGCCCAAAATCAAGAGCCCAAAATTCGATGCAGGCCTCCGGTGGAGACAGCAGTGACAAGTACCTGCTGCATCCCAGGATGTGTATTAGCAAGAGGCTTGATCAGAAGTGGAGTTGGAACTTGAACTCACGATTTCCAATATAGAATGTAGGTATCCATACTACCAATATCTTAACCACCTGCCCCTAAAAAATGTTTTTAATAATACATTTGCAAAGCATCCTCACAGTCATGAAGTTGTAATTGCTACCTATATTTCAGAAGTAAGGAAACTGAGGCTCATTGATGTTAAACAATTGGCCAAAATTTACACAATGAGTAAACTGTTTGCAATTTCTTGATTCTAACTACCATAAAAGAAAGACTTCTGCATTGTCATTGAGGATTCTTAATTAGTGTTTGTTCCCATTTTAAACATAGGGTAACTGAAAATAAGAAAAATGCTTTGACAAGGTTTGCAAGGTTGTAAATGGAAAGCCTAGAACTAGAACCAAAGTACCAGTATTTCAAAGTCGAAGGTCATTGTCCCGCCTTCTTATTTAAATGTGATACTGGCTTTTGAGTTACTTTAAACCTTTAGTTTATTCTGCTATGGTACATGCTTCACCTATATTCTTTACCTGAACATTTAAATTAACTCATCTAAAAATATGAAAGCATCTAATGATGCCGGTGGCCTGCTTGGAAACTAAGGATTTTTGAATGAAAGAGCTTTTGACCATACCAATGAATGAACCAGAAAAGTGCAGCTGTGTTTAGAAAGAGACTCTATAATAGTTCAAGGCAGAATTTATTAGGTATTCCTTCTTAATGAGTTCCATATAATATTCTCTCAGTTAATAAGTTAAAGATCATCTTTGTAGCTGACAAATCTGCAGATCCTGAATTAGGCCCAGGCCAAGTGCTGGGGTTTGTTATTAAAGCAAGCAGATTCATGTACCAAGGAGATTGCCAAGAGCAGGAGAGTGTGAGGCTGTAGTCTTCAAAGAAAAGTAGAAAGGTGCTTACTACTATTAAATACCATTTTCCTCCCAATACATTTCCAACTCTAACACTTAAAGGAACTGTCTCCTGGGAACACACAGTCCATTGAACTGGGCTTTTCAAAGGCTAAAATCATTTGTGTGTTGATCTTGCTTACCATTTCACAATTTGTTATGCGCCATCCATGGGAAAAGGGGAAGCAATGCTAATTGACTAATAAAATCTGTTTGGCGAGATAATTGGTAAAGAACCTGTAGTTTGACTGAAATTCTTGCTAAACCGTGGGGGGTTTTGCCCTCCTTTTGCCGCCTCACTGTCAATGTTAATTGAACTGCAACTGCCTCAGGCTGCAGATTGGGCTTTATTGGAAATTGTTTCAGGTTCTAAGATAAAGATCAGATGTGGGTTTTGGTTAAGAAGCAAACATTAGCTAAAAAGCGTTACATCACCGGCTAAGGAAAATCAGCTTTAATGCTCTTGATTTCTTCAACGACGTTAACTAGAAATAAAGTTCAAAGAGCACGTTAAGATTTTATTTTATTGCAATGTTTCTGCCTTTTGCCTCTCATAATTTTTCTTACTTTTAGTAAACATTTAGTTTCAAAATTCCAAGAATTCTATAATTCTACCATAAAATGGCCTTTCTTTCATCATATTAAAGTAATTCTAACATTCTTCCAAACAGGTCTTTTTCTTTTGGACAAATGACTTTGTTCCATCTTATGCTTTTTAATAATAAGCATTATTTCTGCTTTGCCTTTTAGTAATTTGTATATGTAGCATATCTTTCCTCTTCACACTGTTGAGTTTATATCATCTGAGGGTGGAGGCTATGTTTTATTCACCTTTCCAGTTTTTATTTTATACATAGTTTTAACATATCTAAACATTCAATAAACACTAAATCACAATTTTTTTTTCATAGTCCACTCTGAGAAAGTTTAGGAAGAACTGTTTTGATGTGACATGGGAGATTTGAGACATTTTAAAATACTTAGGGGGGTAAAATTTTTCTTAATGTTTGAGGTAAAGAAAATTGAACTGCAATGGAACTCATAACTTTTTTATTGTTCTTGTTGACTAAGGATATAATATTGTAATATACAGTCATACAATATATGTAGAGAATGTAAAATGTATTAATGTATAAAATATCATTATAAATATACAAATATATGTAAATACAGTATAACCAAACTTGATGTCTTCTATTAATATCAAATGAAAATCTCATATTCTTACTTCAATGATGTGGCTGATGCTTTGAAAGATTCCAACCTCTTAAAGTTTAAGACTAGAATCATTTAAAAGGAGATATATTGCATAAACATATGCAATTAACATGAAATATAATTTAAATATACCTATTAGTTCTAAAGTAATATAATAATATTCTATCAAGAAAACATTGACTAAAGGCTATAAAAATAGGTTTAAAACTATTCTTAATTTAGGCCTGGTACTTTAAAATTTTATACCCAACTATTTATTTAGATTAAATTTTTCAGTACTACTGGTAAATTCAGTTGCATTGGTTACGGCTTAATGTAAATACTGCACAAGGAAAAACATTTTACTTTCATTATGCACTAGAGATTACACCATATGATTAATTCTGAATCTTTATATATATTAATTAAGAGTATTTGAGAAAATTTGACATCCAAGATTGATCCACTTAAAAGAAACAATGAAATATAAATTATTCCCTTATTTAAAAGGAAAATGTTAGAATTTAATACTTCTAAATGTAATATAAAATGGTCAAAGTCAGTTTTGATGTATTTTAAGGTGTAAGTGGAGTAATAACATGAGAAATGGTGGGTAAAACAGCTGAATAATTAATGGAGATAATTTTATATAGAAGCAGATTTTTTATTTAGCTCATTGGAAAACACAAGACGCTGAGTATATCTGAACAGGACAATGCCACAATTATTGCTCTATTTTTCAGAAATTAATGACAAATAAAACATGATCCTGGACTGCATCCTGAATAATCAATACAAAAACAAAACAAAAAATGGAACAGGCAAATTTGAATTAGGCTCTTAAATGATAGCATTTTTATCAGTTTTGTTTTATAGTAATGCATTATACTACTATGGTTACAAAGAAAAGTGTCCTCCCTTAAGGATTTTTTACTATCATTATTATTTGAAAGTCAGAGAGATAAACAGCCAGCTAGACAGAAAGTGCAACCATCTTCTGGTTCATTCTTTGCTGCCCACAATGGCTGGGCCAGGCCAGGCTGAAGTCAGGAGCTAGCAATGTAATCTGGAACTTCACATGTGTGGCAGGATCCTGCCTCCCAGGGTCTGCTTTAGGAAGCTGGGGCACTGATCTGAGACACAGACGTCTTAACAGAGTGACTTTTTTACAAAGTAAAAAACAAAGTACTTTACTGCTTGGCTATATCCCTGCCCCAGACACAGTTCTCTAAAATAAACACACACTTTAGCCTGTATAAGTTAAGGGACATCATGTCTGTGATGTTAGACACTTTGGAAGAAAATGTCTCATGCCTACAAATTAGGGGGGGGGGGCAATACAACAATATGAAAAAATACCGACATTTGGGGAATTTGGATGAAGGCTACACAAGAATTCTTTGTGATATTTTATCAACTTTATTGAAAGTCTGAAACAGTGTCAAAAGAGGTTTTATTTTATTTTTTTTTAAGAAATATGCCCACAACATAAAATAGACTAAGAGTTGACTACTATGAAAGCTTGGGCTATAATAGTGAAAACCCTCATTACCAGCTTTTGGAAGGGAAATTTTGAGAAAACTTACTAAAATTTGAAATTTCAACTTTTAGCAACTCCACTTCTGTTATCTGCCTCATGGAAATATGAGAGTATTTCAAAATGTTCATGGAAAATGAAATTACCCATTTTAGTGCAAATATGATACTCATGTATACTGCAGGTCTTCAAAAGGGCATACAAATGTATATTTGATAAAAGTGCATGGATTTCAAAATGTTTGCAAAAATATTTTTGATAATTTTTCTAAAAAGTTTTTATTTATTTGAAAGGCAGAGTGATAGAGACAGACAAAGAGAGGGCGACCCAGAGAGACATCTTCCATCTGCTGCTTCATGCCCTGAATGCCCACATTAGCCACAACTGGGTTAGGCGGAAGCCAAGAGCCAGGAATTCCACCCAGGTAGGTCTCTCACAAAGGTGGCAGGAAGTCAAGTACTTGGGCCACATACTGGTATCTCCCAGACACATTAACAGGAAGCAGGATCAGAAGAGGTGGTGGACTGATTCCAGGCAGTCTGACAGGGGATGCGGTCCCCATATGGAGGCTTAACACACTGCACCACGATGTGCATACCTAAAGATCTTAACTCATTTTTGTGCATTTTTGAAGTACTCTCTTCCATGTGTGCACAAAGCTATTTATTAAAATAATTCTTTATGTTAGGAAAAACAGCAACTTAGATTTCCATATGAATAGAAGTTAGAATAGAATAAAATAGAAGTTAGAAAGTAAGGTAGGAAGCAGGGAGCACAAGTTAGATTTATAAATATCAAATATGTCCTCATCTGAAAAAACTGCGAAGACATACTAAATAAAAACACAAAAGAAACTGTCACACTATATATGAAGTAAAATCCTATTTATGTTCAATCTCATTATGTTATCTTTTAAGTTTAAATTATATAGGATTTGGAAATTTCTAGAATAACTCTGTATAGACACAAAAACAATAGGGATCTGTGGAGAACAAGGAGAATAGTCAAAAAATCTACTGCAGCAACTTTAAATGAATATACACTAAAAACAGTATTTAATACACCAACATAATGAACGTACAATTAAAAATAAACATCACAAAATCAGTTAAGAATTAAATTGAGTTCTATGGAATCGAGATTGTAGACAAAGTAGTCTTAGCAGCTAGTATGAGCTGAAACAGGAGATGGTTGGTGTGGGAAGGAGAATCTAGAGTTCTTACATTGTGTGGGAAAGGAAGGAGGATTTAGTAAAGGTAAATGGATTAATGACGTCTTTAACAGAAATAGAAAATAAGAAAACTTACTGAATTGTGAGAAGATGATCATTTTTATTTTGAAGCAACTGAATTTGAGGTATTAGCACACCTGCCAGGTAGATACACCACAAATTTCCTAGAGATATATATTTGAAGTACAAAGACTAGAATTGCCTTGGAGTTAAGTGAATGAACCTATAAGAACAGAACTGCAAAGCATCAGTGGGCATTAATTGCACTTCCTTGTTATGATCACTGCCTAATGTTCCATTTGATGCTATGCATCCATAGTTAATCCTCACAGAGTTACTCATATTTACCTGGGTATTAAAGGTCAACTCAAGGCTATATCATCTTATACATTTATATAATGAGATTTATTTACAACATGGTATGGTTTCCATGAAACCTCTGTCTAGATCCAACTCCCTGTTGTAAATGAAATTTGCAAAAATCAAGAAAAAAGATATAAGAAACAATAAGAAAAATATTTTAAGTGACTTAAGTCCTATTTCAAGACAAATATTTTTCTTATCCCTGTTGTATTATTAAATTGTCATTGCCATACATCTTAGTCAAGTATTGAAGTCCATCAATAGGATTATTTTGTGGCATTTTAAAATTATTCAGTTGGTTATGCTTTTGCAACTAGAGGGAGCTGAAGAACTACAAAGAATTGGATTATAATCCATTTAAAAATGTTTGTTGTAAGAAACCTTTAAAAATTAAAGACTTCAATAAACTGAATAGCATTGAATTAAGTATAGAAATTTGCATAAATAATATTTTTGTAACCATTGAACTGGCCATGTAAACTCTTAGTTGTAACAAAACTCTTCAAATAATGTAAATATGGTTCTTTGGCCTTATTTTATGCCAAGACAGTTACTAATAGTTCTAACTTCAGCCATGGCTGAAATAAAAAAGGGTGCTTTGAATGTGGTATTAGAAAATGAGGGCCCCATAAAATGAGACTCAGTGCCTAATTTCCGTTTGGGACAAGATCAAAGTAAGTACATCTCAGTTGCCTAGGCTTTTAGAAGAAGGAAAATACAAGTAAAGGTGAAGTCTAACATATACTGATTTTTTTGTGTAATCATTAAATATTTTGTAATATATCCCAAAATATTAAAATAAATAAAATAACTAGTTCAGGAAATATACTTAATTTTACTTGAATAGGTAAGCATTTTAACAAGTAAAAAGTTAATATTCTTGAATGATTATGAATTATTTTCCCAAATCAAGTTACATCTAGTAATAGGGTATTTCCTTTTGGCTTCTTAAAAATGAGGTGAAATCATATATCTGTTACTGCATTCATCTAAAATCTGTATAACTTTTTAAGGCACAATATTTTGTTTACTCTGTACCAACAAATGATATCCATGAAAATATATTTAGGTTCTAACATGGATTACATTAATTTCTTCTATCCTAAATATTTAATTATGGACCTATCCTTTATTTATTTTTATCAGAAGCCAGAACTCACTAAGCATTTTTCTAAGTACAGATTTCCCTTTGTTTCAAAAATTCTTACTTTTTTTTATTAACTGGCATTTTGACAACACAGGCACACTTTAAAATGAGCTGATTTCACAAATTAATACTTTTTTGAACTTTATTTCTTCATAGAGCCCACATGATTGTAACTGATATATTCCTACTTACAAAGTTTAAACAAAATGTCATACAACTTTGCTTAATCTGTGATACTAACATCTAAAACTATACAGGAATAAGAGAGCTCTCTGAAAGTTACAAGGAAGGACATCCGAAATACTACATACACTAGAATGGCGACCATAGCAGGCTTGAGCGTGCATATTGTTTCATTATTAGGATTATCTGGAGTATTGCAGTTTACACGAACTGAAGAGAACTGTTTGGATTTATATTATGCAGTATCTTTATCCTTCTTTATTCCTAAAGCAATCTATTTGCTATACATATATACATTTTTATTAGAGCACAGACATTACAAGATCATGCTGCCATTCAGTTAAGATGCCACGTGGATATTACAATCAAATGGCATCCAAAATGCAATATATTGCTATGAAAATGCAGATGTTTTCACTGATTGGCATTTATGAATGAGGCAGGTCACAATGATGTGAGATTTTATCTCCTACAAATGGATTTATCATAAATATATAGACCAATATATAACATTGAAGAACAAGAAGCAGAAGGGGAACAAGGCTCTGGCATAGAGGTCGATTCGCTTTGCTGCTGTGGGAATCACAGGCTTGGCAGGGGGAGGTTTCTTGGTGTTCTTTGCCTGAGATTTTCCAAGTCCATTGTTGACTTCAATGGGTTTTCCATAGCAGTCATAATTGGATAATTCAAAATCTCTTGGTAAGCTTCCAACAATGCTGAAGTCATTAGATCTCAGATCAGACTTTGAAGTACAAACCTTTTTGCATCTGGTCTCGCCAACCTGAGAATAAAAATGAAAGATAAAATGTTTTTAGAATTTTTCCACTTATAAATTGCATCTCCTCAAAAGGTTATTTTAAAACCCAGTAGTTTCCACAAGAGGCTATTTGTTTATATCATAAAGAACTAACAGAGATAATAGCTGATCAGATTTTTGTCAGATTGCCTAAACATTTATGGCTCTAAAATGTTGCCTAAATAACAAAGCCTTTGTCATGGAAGAAGTTTTTGGTTGATTATTTTATGCCAAGAAATCAGGCTACCAGACATGTAGAGATATCCGTTGAAAGATCGGTAAGTAAATGTTCATCCTTGCTCCTGTATTTAACCAAGACACAGACAATATTACTAACAAGTATAGAATGCAGAAATCTTCTGAAAGCCCTACGCTTTGACTTTCCTACAGATTCTGTTTCCAAATAAAGTGGTTTGCAAATGACTGAGGCATTTATCCATGATACATTTATCCATGATACAAACTGTGTCATTAAACCACATCTATCAATAAGAAATAAAGATAAGCACAATCAAAACCACAAGTTTATCAGTGTAAAGGTGTTCCCAACTTCTTCGCTAAAGTTGAATTAACCAACTGCACTCAGAGCATACAAAGACATCATATTTACTTCAGCTAGTTCATACCCTGCTCAGATTATTCAATTCATTTCTGAATCACTAAATTTGAATTAATTCCTCTTAATACACAAAATAATTAGCTCACACTGAATTATCTTTAGCAACCAGCAGTGCCCTGAGAAAGATTAGTGGTGTAGTGTAACTCCCAGGGCCTTAGGGTAGCAGGGAGGTGAGCTCTTGAGTCCACTGCCCAATTTCCCCATAGTTTTTACAGCCGAATTTTGTAATTCACCTTCAATATTGACATTTACCAAGTTTTTACTGTGGAAGGAAATGCCTTTGTTGTGTACTGTTACTATATTTATTTTTTTTGCTTTTTAAATACAACATACGCATTGACTAGTTCTGTAGATTGTTAATATTGACTAGACTACTACTGGGTAAAAAGAATGCATTATTTTGCCTAATGTAACAAATAAAACACATTATTCCCCCGCAGGATTTTGATACCAGCAGATTCTCATATTTGAACAAACATTGTTAGATATTTCCTTGGCAAGAGCTAGAGAGTGCTCAGAAGTGGATAGCAAAAATACCCGATATACTGAGTGAAATAGCAATTTAAAATGCATCTGTACACTCTTCTGTAATTACACACTTGGATTATTTCCATTTCTTTCTAATTATGTACAAATATTGGCACTATGTTTCTAAAGCCAGTATACAAGTATTGGTTTTATAATTATATGCTGCATGCTACAAATATGAAGATATACTATATATCTAGTATAATCCTATTGGGAAATAATTTTTAAAGATGTTTATAAAACTATAAAAAGTATAAAAATATGATGATAATGAGGAATGGGGATTGAAAAGCAGGAAGTTCATCCACATGAAAACTTCTTACTTAAAAACAATGTGAATTACCAATGTATTGACTTATTTAGAGGAAGTTCTTTATGAAATAGTCCAAACATTAACATAGTCCCATGAGGTTTGATAACATTTTGTTTTAAATGAGAATTCTGATCCCCACCACCAGTCCATTTTTCAAAAGTAACACTACGATTTGCCAAATGTGAGAGCTCATTTGAGCCTAAGAGAACTACACCAACATGTGGATGGCAAGAACACAGGTTTCAGTCCATATCAATGTGTACAACTTGTCTAGCAAAATGTCTAGCAAAAAACAGGGATGGGAAACAGAGTAAGAAAGAGAACAAGGGTAGAAACTAAAATCTAAATTATTTAAATTTGACTTCAGAAAACACACACACACACACACCCCCCTCTCCATTCTCTACGTCAATTAAATGATCCAAACTGAATTTGCGAGACTACCTTCATCAAATCTACCGCCCAGTCTCCACCACCACCTGTGCGAACATACACATCATACACATGCATCTTCTCTTCATGGTTCCTGACAGCAAATTGTTTTAAAGCTCATGTTTTCCAGTGCCATGTGGGGAATATGTCAGTATCCACCTGCATCAGTGAACTTTTGTAATCAGTAAATCACTAACTTGAGAATAAGAATTAAAAATACCAGACACAAAGACTAATAGAACAAAACAGAGAACCCAGAGTAAGCCATGTGTCTACACCCAGCTGATCTTTGACAAAGTGCTAAAAAGATGCATTGGAGAAAGGACAGTCTTTTCAATAAACGCTGGGAATTTATTAAATTTAATAAATGCTGGGAGATGGGAAACTGGATATCTACCTGCTGAAGAGTGAAATTTTACCATACTCCTTCATCTCAAGTGGACAAAGACCTAAAGACTAAGGCATGAAAATGTGAAGTCACTATAAGAAAACATAAGTGAAACTTGTCAGGACATTGGAATGGGCACAGATTTTTGGATTAGATCCCAAAAGCACAAGAATAAAAATTAAAAATAGATAAATGAACATTCATCAAACTTAAAAGCTTCTGCACAGCAAATAAAACAGTCAACACAATGAGCAAACTACCTACAGAGTGAGAGAATACTGAAAGACTATACCTCTGAAAAGAAATTAATAACCAGAAAATATGAGGAACTCAAACAACTAAATAGCAAAATCCCCCTAAATTACGTAATTTAAAAATGAGCAGATCTAAATGGACATTTTTCAAAGGAAGACATACAAATAGATGAGAGGTATATGGGAAAAAGTTCAGTGTCATTTATCACCAGAGAAATGCAAATCAAAACTCAATGAGAGTCAATCACACTCCTGTTAGATTGGCTACTATTAAAAGATAGAAGATAATAAGTACTGGTAAGGATGTGGAGAAAAGAGAATCCTTTGACACTGTTGATGGAGATGTAAATTAATAGAGCCATTGTGGGACACAGTATGAGTGTTCTTCAAAATACTGAAAACGGAACTTCCATATAATCCAGCAAAGAAAATGAAATCAGCCTGTTAAAGCCATTTGCACTCTCATGTTTGTTCTAGCACTACTCATCACAGTACAATAACAGAAACATAAGTGCCCAGAACTAATGAATGGATAGAGAAATGGTGACACTGTACACAACAGAATGCTACTCAGCCATTAAAATGGAAGAAATCCTATCATTTGTGACACAGATGGAATAGGGGTAATTAGGATATAAAATAAGCCAGACATAAAAATACAAGTATAACCTGATCTCATTCATATGTAGAATCTAACAAAGTTACAGAAGGCTATAATGGTGAGTTTTTAAAAAAAAGTTGAAAGAGTGCAGTCTCGGGGAAGAGTTAGGGAGAAAACAGCAGAGGAAACTCTACATAAATTGGAGGAACACAGTAGCCCTACGTGGAGGGTGAAGACACGCACAACTTAGGACCCCACCAGCCAAGAGCCTTTTCACCAGCATTGGATAGCAAGGTGTGACCAGACTGAAGCAGCCCAAGCAACTGGCAAAAAAAATTGCAGGATAGCTAGCGAGAATACAGCTGGGAGCCCCGTGGGGGAGAGTAACCTGCCAAACTAGAGGAGAAAAAAAACAAAACAAAGAAAAACATGTTTTCTTTCTCCCTGTTCATCCTGCAAAAGGCATCCTGTAACAAGCTTACAGAGAGCAGGTGCCATTTTGGACATACATAACAGCTGTGCCAGCTCACATCCACACCCAGCAACCAGCCAAGCAGAGACTCCTGAGTATGGTGGAGAGAATATACAGGGGGCTGGATACTCGTGACTATGGGAGGCTTGTGTACTGGGACTGTGAAAACATTGAGGCTCTGTGGGAGCACTCATGGCGTGGCTGGGATTTTGGGCAGTCACAGTGGGAGGCTCCATATGATCAGGGCTCCTAGGTTACCTGGTGAGAGACATTACTGGGGAAGCTGAGCTTATACTGAGGCCTGAAAAGATCCTTTGTGTGGTCCTGGTGGCAGAGAGGACCAGACAAATAATATGCTCACTGGGGCTAGTGCCCAAGCACTGTTCTCCTTCTAGGAGAAGAGCTCAGCTGAGTCTGCACCAACAGACAAGAGGAAACTTCCCCTCTGATAAAAAAAAAATTTACCAGGCCAAACTTGAGTGTGTCACCTCAGATATGCCCTTCACTCTGGAGTACTGAACACAGCTCCCTGATCACTCCCACCACACACCTCTAGGTATTCCCTGAAAGCAGAAACTCCACTAATCCAATCAGAGTCGAAAGAGAAAAGCCACCACAGCAAAAAATCAAAGAAACCAACGAGTATCCCCACAAATGCCAAATAACAAATGCACCAATCCAAGAAACAAGAACAAGGGAGACAACATGACACTTCCAAAAGAACACAACACCTCAGTACTAGATTGTGAAGATGATGAGACTGAAGAAATTCCAGAAATGGAATTTAAAAAATTGAACATAGAATTACTTAGAAGTAATCAAAGTAAATGAATGAACTAATGAAATCCATATATGACAAGAAGAAAATTTTTCTCATGAAGTTGAGATCTTAAAGAGAAATCAAAATGAAATCTTGGAAATGAAGAATTCAACAGAACAAATAAAAAATGCAGGGGAAGCCATAACAACAGAATTGGTGAAGCAGACGAAAGAATATCTGACTTATAAGACAAAGCACAGGAAATTATACAGTCAGACCAAACACAAGAAATTAGAAAACTAAAATCATGGTTGTGAATCTACAGGATACTATCAAATGACCCAACATATGGGTTCTAGGAGTCCCTGAAGGCATAGAAAAAGAAAATGTTAGAAGGCCCTTTTAGTGAAATAATTACAGGAATTTTCCCCAATTTGGAGAAAGAAAGGGGCATCCAAGTGCAGGAAGTAAACAAAAAACTCCTAATAGACATGACCAGAAAAGATCTTCACCACAATGCATTGTAATCAAACTCTCCAGAGTAAAACATAAAGAAAAGATTCTAAAATATGCACAAGAGAAACACCAGATTACTTTCAGAGGATCTCCAATTAGACT